GTCGTATTAGTCCAGAAGAAGGATGGGACCCAATGTTCCTGTGTGGACTTCAGGGCTCTTAACAGTATAACCACAAAAGACTCATACCCAATGCCAAGACTTGATGATAATCTTGATGCCCTAAGTGGAGCCAGGTGGTTTTCAACTCTAGACTTAAAGTTGGATTTCCATCAAGGGAGAATGGCTGAAGCAGATAAACCTAAGACTTCATTTAGTTATGGCCAAGGTCTCTGGCAATACTGTGTGATGCCATTCAGGCTTAGCAATGCTCCAGCAACATTTGAGAGGCTGATGGAAAGAGTACTGGAAGGCTTACAATGGAGGATAGCCATAATGTACCTGGATGATGTCATTGTGTTTGCAGCAACATTTGATGAAGAAGTATCCCAGCTAGAGGAAGTATTCAAGTGTTTGAAAGCAGCAAATCTCAAACCCCATCCCAAGAATACCAGATATGTAACAATATTTTTGATAATTATAGATGCCACGTCACGTTATCTAACTTATATAAAAGCCAGTGTTGGTCACGTCACGCTTGATTTTAAACTTAAATCGTTACTGAATTAAGGTATTTTCTGTTATTTCACTAACGTTTTTAATAATAATAAACTCTTTAATCAACAGGTTCTAAATTAAGAAATCAACAAATACTTTTCCAGTTTTATAGTTTATACATTTCATTTTACACTTTCAGTATATAGATTAACAACAATATTAGTTGGTACTTTTGTTGGTAACAACGCTTTCCAATATGGCATGAAAGCCATTATTGGAAAACATTGTTATCAAAATCCACTGACTTTTCTATATATTAGATGTTGTTATATAAGGTACCAGTTCTTTTCTATATGGTTTTTAACTAACTTGTCTCATTAAAAAGATGTGCACGTGCGTGTCTGTCTGTGATTTCTAATAATACCCAGGTGCACACACTCAGAGTCCACTTAGTATGGGTGCAAAATTTCAGATTCTTAGGTTCTTTCCTCTTGGAGCTATGGTTGGCACATTTCTTTCCTGTGGGGTTTTACACATAAAAAGATGCGCATGCACGTAAATAAGTAATAATACCCAGGTGAAAGATCATGGGAAACAAAAAGAATCCATGGAACAAATAGACAGGAATGAGAACGAGTCATATAACATAGCAGGGAACAAACAAAGTAGATGATTCGGATAAAAGGCTAAACAACCTTCCTGGGAAGGAAGGTCTGATTCAGACAGCAGATAACATACAGGGAATGGTAAATGATGCAGAAAACATTAAGGGCATAAATATCGGAATGGCGACAACAGCATGCCAGGAGGGGGATGAAATAAATCTTAACCCAATGACTACCGGTACTAACTTTCTTAGTAGGCAATGCAAGTGTGCATTTGTGAATTGAAAAAATGATAGAGAACTTATCTTTTAATGGATTTCTGATTTTATTTTTATAAATAGCTGCATAACATTCAATTATTTGTACAAAATTGTATTCTTTAATGAAGTTTAAAGAGGAATTAAATGAAAAAATTCCTAAAATACGTTTTAGACTGTAACTAAGCGCCCTCTAAGAAATGTTTTTTTCAAAACTTTTTT